CATGTTCCAATTTTCAATGGATGTTTACAGCTGTTTCTCTTCATTTTGAGTTGTGCCCCATCAGCAAATGAAGGTCCCACAGGCTTTACTCCATTCATATCGTCATGGTCAACTCTACTTTGAGGAGGCAGCTCTACCCCAGTCACATTTTGAGTGCCTTCCAACCTAAGGGGCTTATTTTCCGGCACTATATCTGACAGTGTTTCTCTGCTATTCATAAGGTTTTCAGTGACTAAATATTTGGAAGCAATTCGTCATTCCTTCTTCCTAGTCTATATTCTGGAAGCTCATCTGAAACCTGTCCACCATGGGTGACCCTGCTGGTATTTAAAATACTGATGGCATAGCTTCCAGAATCATGGCAACTCACAAGCTACCACAGTATGACAAACTGACAAACGAGTGGTGGTCCAACTCATAGTGACCCTGTATAGGGTTTCTGAGGAGCAGCTGGTGAGCTTGAACTGCCAACCTTGCGGCTTGCGGTTCAAACTAACTTTGAAGACCAGCGCATTAACCCACAGAACCACACCAGGAGTGTGGGATATCTATAATCACCACCTGACAAATCGTGCTCCCACCCCACCCTCCACTTCCTCACCACTCCAAGAGCCCACAGATATCACCCACTCTCAGGGAAGAGATGGGGCCAGAGGATAGAGAGACTGAATGACTTGCTCCAGGACACAATTCAGGATACCCACAGGAAGACAGTAGTCCTTCCTTCTCTGCTCTGGCCTTCTGCCAGTGATGGGGTAAGAATGCCTTCCTGAGAACTTCAATCCCCAGAGGAGGACACTGGGTCAGAGAATTAGCAAAGCAAGAAGTATGAGTCTTAGTTCTGAGAAATCACTGACTTCTGCAAAGCTCCTCCCATTTCTCCAGCAGTTGCTTTTGAGGCCAGAACCAACCAGCAGTCCCCCTCCCTCCCCCAGGGCTCCACCTAGCAGCAGGTCATAATGCCCCAACTGCACAAGTCCCAGAATGGCTGACCCAAGTGGGAGGAGGTAAGGAGGTTTCAGTGGATGGATGTGGGGAATGTGGGAGGTTCATGCCCAATTCAAGTCCAATTCCTAACTCTTGGAACTCATCTTTGAGTGTTTGGGAGAGTCCCACCCCCTTCCACAGCCCTCCTTCCGGCACACCCTCCCAGCACTAGCCCTGTCACCTTCACTTCCCTCCATGACCTGGCTCTGCTTATCCAGGCCCCAAACCCTGGTAAACCCAATCCTAGTTCCTCCCAGGGACCTGGATGCTGGAGAGGAGTCAGGCAGTCCAATGGGTCCAAGTGTGTCCTTCTGGGGCCCTAGCCAGGCCAAGCTCCTGGACAATGCCCTAGGGCTAGCGGCACTGGGGCTGACAGTTGGAGCAGTCCTTTTCACACCTAGACCAGCTCTGCTGCTGCTGCTGCTATTGGTCAATTTCCTTGCCTTCGACCTGCTCCATGGGTAAGTGGGCAGAGGGACTGGCAGGTGGGCAGGCCCATAGGCGGCTAGACAAGTAGTCAATCTCCCTGAATTCAGCTGCCTCCTTCTCTCCCTGTCTCTGCACAGGCCCACAGCTCCCACCTTGCTGCAGCATAGACTTCTTGCAGGGGGCCAGAGCCAGGGGGCCGGCGAAGGTCCAGGACAGCAAGGGCCACTACTTCTTCAGTCAGTGGCAGTCACAAGACAAGTCAGCCTCCAAGATGTTCTGTTCCTGCTGCTCTCAAGCCTGGGTCTGCTCCTCGGGGCCCACGGCGTACCCTTGGCCCTGCTTGGCCTGGCTTTCTGCCTCCACCCTTGGGTCTGACTGCCCTCTCAAAACACTGGGTATCCACCTGAAATACACTGACCATTCTGTTTCCTTGGACCTCCATTCCTCCACCATGGGGTGCGCAGGTGGCAGGTTCCTTCAGGAATTCATCATGGCCCCACAATGTGGGCAGTAGACACCTAGACCTGATCTTGGGGAGGGAAGGTGTGATGAGACACAGGGAGCCCAGGGAAGGATGTGACAGCAATCTCAGAGCCTGCAGGTTGGATGTGGCCATTCTAGCCTCCTCTGTGGCTCAAGAGAATGAGGGCCTAGAGAGAAAGGCGTGTAAGAGAGTGAGGTGGGGCTGACTATCCGGCACCAGGGACGGGACGAGGACCCAAGAAGGGCTTCCCCATAAGAAAGCATTAGACACTGCATCCAAGGGCTCATCTGGCTCTCCTGACAGTCTGAAGGGCCCAGAGGCTCCTCTCTAGGCTTGACCCCACCCCTGCCTGGGTCACAATAGGGCTCCTTGGGGGAGGGTGGGGGTGGACAAGAGTGGGAAGGCTCGGATCTGGCTGCCAGGCCATCCTGGTCACTGCAAGAAGCAACATGACTTAGGTGACTCTGCTCAGAGGTAAGTCCCAGGTCCCAGCTGGCAACCCTATCTCAACCACATTGGTGCCTTCCTGATCCCTGCAACGCCATTCACCCTGGGGTCCCAGGCCTCTGCAGTACTGCTCCTGCAACTGTCTTGGCCCTCTTTTCAGGTGCCTCCAGCTGTGATGCAGCAGCCGCAAGTAGACACAGATGCCATCGGGGCCGGTGAGGGGCTGCAGCCTACAGCGCCCTGGTCGGCCTGGGTCTCGCGGCAGGGCTGGGTACGCTGGTGGGCATGCCATGTGCCCCGAAGCTGGACCCAGTGGTGGACCACATCGTGCTGGCGGCAACCATTGCAGCGTGTGCTGTGGGGTCTTGAAGGGATGCTCTACCTGCTGTTGGCTCTGATGCTGTGCCACGCACTCTTCACCACCGGTTCCCACCTGCTGAGCTCCTTGTGGCCCGTCGTGGCTGCAGCGTGGCGCCACCTGCTGCCTGCTGTCTTGCTGCTGGTGCTCAGTGCCCTTCCTGCCATGCTCTTCACCACCTCCTTCCTGCTGCTTTTCTCCACACTACTGAGCCTCGTGGGCCTCCTCGCCTCCATGTCTCACTCTAGCCACGCTCAGGACTTGGACCAATAGAAGGCAACCCTATTCCACTGCCTGTGTCTGTTGAGCCCAGGCCTAGGGCTTGAGGCCTAGGGAGAGGGAGGGCAGTGGGACCCAGCCCCAGCATCTCAGTCACTAGCACAGGCCAGGGCTTGTGTAGTGTTTCTGAAGCTGACAGGACAGACTGACCTCTGGGCACCTTCCTCAAGTTGATGCTTCAGGTACCTGGTGTGGGAGAAAAGGAGACTAAAGAAGAGGGGATGGGGCAGAAGGCTTAACCAGGGTAGAGCTTGGCCAGATCTCTGAGGGATCCCATGTGGATGTGGTAACATTACTAGATTCCCCCTTGACAGCTGACAGTATTTTCTTCTTGCTCAGCTGTTTCAGCCTCAGACCTCACTAAGAACTTCTATCAGGCTACCCCTGGACTCTATTTCTCCCACCAACCCCTCTTCCTACTTTCAGGGGTCCCACAGATCAGGAGAGAACCTCATTGACAGAAGTCTAGCTGGAAAAGGACTGGGCAGAAGCCTCCAGGAAACCTCAACTCACCTTCCAGACCTTTCTATCCAAGAATGCCCTATCTCAGTCTGTATTCCCAGGTTTGGAAAATGGGTCAGCCAGAGTAGTTAGGTTCCCAGAGAGGAGCATTCACTTGTTAAGACTCCCAAGGTTTGTTGTTGGAAAACTAAGAAGTCCTATTTCACCCATCTACACAGTGTGAGACCTTGACCAATTAATTCCTTTGACTCTCAGTGTTAAATGGGTCCTAAAAGGAGCTCTGGTAGCGTAGTGATTACGAATTGGGCTGCTAACCTCAAGTTTGGCAGTTCGAAACTATCAGCGGTTCCACGGGAGAAAGATGAGGTGGTCTGCTCCCGTAAAGATTTACAGCCTCGAGAACTCTTTGCAGGGTCACTATGAGTCGTAACTGACTCCACGACACTTAACAACAACAACAACCTTGCCATGGGGCTGTTGTGAGTCATAGGCAATACTTATTTGTGAGATATTTTGTAAAGATCAGAAAACTGTAAGGTATTGTTTTGAACACTAAGAACACTAGGCTCAAAAAAATCTTTTGCTCCTGAAGGTCCTTGAAAAAAGCAAGCAGTTTCCTAGATCTTCAGAAAAATGCTGTCATAAATAGAATTTTGGCCCTGAAATGGTAAATGGCTGGGTGTGGACAAGATGTAAAAGGCCGTTTGTCATGAAATCTCAAAATGTGCAGATTTAAACCTTTTCTGGTTGTGAAATGCTTGGGGCTGGGGCTTGGTGCCAGGAGATGCCTGCACAGATGTGTGGGGAGGAAAAGCTAGTTCATGGGCTTTCAAAACTGACTCACAAGCACTCACAGCACCCAGAGGGCCTTGGAAGGTACTATTCCTTAATATCCTGGATGCTGGTCATTCACACATCTAACCCCTCCAAACAAAACATTGATGAGTTATTACCAAGAAAGGCATATGATAGTCAACCTTACCTACAGTTGAAACTCACTCACCTGACCCTGACTTCTGACTTCCGCCCTTTGACCTGACCCCACTCTTTGGTCCTGAAATGATCCTTAATCTCTATCCTCCCCAAAGCCATATTCCTCCTCAACCCCAGCCCAGTCCTGATCCTCATCTTACATCTAACCCTAAAATTCCTGCTTTTGCACTCTTAGACCCAAGGCTCCCTTCTCCCTTATACTCAAGTTCTGGGGAGCAGTTCCTAGAACCCTATTAAATATCTGGTTCATCTTTGCCAAAATCCATTTGCTATAGAAACACATAACTCCACACAGTCCTGGTTAGATTCTAAGCAGTGGCCGAGTCCTTCTTTCCCATTCCCTTGTAGTTCTCTCTGAAATGTGACCAGGTAGTGAGGGCAAGGCAGGACAGGGAAGTGGTGTAAGTTTTGTGGTTAGCATGGGATTTGGCATATTAGCAGGGGCTGGGCTTGAATCCCAGCACTGTCACTTTCTAACTCCATGACCTTGGTGGAAACTGCTAACCCTCCCTGAACTTCAGTTTCTTCATGAGTTAAACAGAGGTAAAAACACCTTGTTAGAGCTCCTGTGGGTGGAACTCCTGGAACCTGGGTTGAGTATATGGCCAGGGTCCTAGCACTACAAATTGCAGGCATCCTAGTGATGAGAAATCAGTCTCAAGATAACCACTTACAAGTGACAAAGCCAGACCATTTGAGCCCTAACAGGCTACTAAAGAGACAGCCACGAGATGGAAGAAATACAACCTTACTAAAGACCCCACGGTCTCTCAATGCCTGTTCTCAAGAATTCCTGTCAGGGATAAAGTGCAGGGCTGGACAAAGTCATGAGTCAGACCAGTCTAGATGTCTGATGGGCTGCAGCTCTGGGTCTTATGTAGTTGGAGTGGAGACCAGGAAGCTGTGGGGCCATTAGAATTAGGAGAAAGAAGGCTTTGACTCAAATGGGCATATTCGGGAGCATGATGAATGTAGGAGCAAGAAGAAGGCCCCTTTTTCTTCTCCCCAAAAATATACAAGGGGACTTCAGAAAGTTTGTGGAAAAGTTCCATTATCTTTCTATTTCAATTCAATTTAATTGAAAGATAATGGAACTTTTCCACAAACTTTCTGTAGCCCCCTTGTATACCTTCCATCTTCCTGACCTATTGGTGTAGGGTCACACACACTGGAGAACAGATAAATTGGTGATACTCAACAAATTAGATCAGCACATACCCTGTGATCCAGCAACTCGAATCATCTCAGAAGTCCATAAGGTCTTCAAAGTGTGATCCCAGGACCAGCAGCACAGTCATCACCTGGGAGCTCATTAGAAATGCAGAGACTCAGGCCTCACCTCAGACCTGTTGTATCAGAACCGGCATTTTAATAAGAGTCCCAAGTGATACATATGCACACCAAAGTTTGAGATGCACCACACAAGAGGACTATGAGAATGGTTATTGCATTGTTACTGATGGGGGTGGGGAGATGGGAAGGGTCAAACATAGTTGGATAAGCACCATGCAAAGGTGACAACAGAAGGGGTGAAAGCTACATGGGTAGATTTTAAAATCCTAGTGTTGGGTGAAAACCAAAAAGACATACAATCCATTTTACACATTTAAAATGCACACCAGCAAAACAAAACACTTTTTTTTTTGTTTTGACTCACTAGCATAAACATATCAAAACAAAAGATAGAATGGAATGGTAAACTGAAGGAACAGCAAATGGGAGTAGGGTATAGAAAGGAAAGCAAAGTGAGGGACCTTGCAGAGAGGAAAAATAAACACAATTCCTGAAATTCCTTTAAATGTAGACAGTCGCCCATTTAGAGTTAAAGACTTAAAAAATGAAACACTAGGATGGAGAATGAACATGCTGGTATGAAAGAGGTTCTAAGTCTTTCCATTTTGGACCAAGAAGAAAGGTCTGCCCCATTGGTCTATAAGGCCTAGGCAGCTAGGTCCTCTTAGGGTCCTCCCCAGCTCTACCCCATACTCAGTCTGCTCTGGAAGGGATGAGGACAGGCATTCAGGAACTCATGTGGCCTGGCCCGAAAAATAATCAGGTCAGGTGGGGCATAAATAACTAAGGTTGGGGGAGGAAGTGTCAGTCTCCAGGGAGCTTGCATTTGATGAGGGGCTGGTCAGCAATGGGACCTTCAGCGCACACATACTTTGAGGGGGATCATCTACTGTGGCACTGTGGGATAATGCACCGGACAGCAAGGTCGGTGGTTCAAGCTCACTAGCCGCTCCTTGGAAACCCTATACAAGGTTCCAATTCGATGACAATAACACCACCTAGAAGAGGAAGTGCCCTGTAGGACGCTTCCCCAAGGAACAGGATATAATTAAGAGGCTGAAGGTAGTGCTCAATGGTCACCCAGGGGCAAGGAGAGGAGTCGCTGAGAGGGGAACTTCTATGGGCCAGCTGTGGACACAGGCTCCTGTGTGCGTGGTAAAAGGAAAGAGGGAGGCTGTGCTGGAGAGCTGAGAGAGGCCTAGGGATCGGGGAACTCTCAGGACTCAGCAGCCAGCTGCCATAGGAGATGAGGGAGGTGGGGCTGCAGACTGGGGTGTGGGGGAAAGAGTAAGCCAAGCCCAAGGGTCCATGACCTTAGCCATAGATACACCAGGAAGGGAAGGCACAGCACCAAGGAGGTGCAGTGGGGAGGGGGAGCACCTCGTCTGACCGAGTGAGCAGTGGTCACTTGAGAAGGTCACTGGTGGGGAGATTCGTGCGTGGTTCAGGATACTCTTGATGCAGCCTCTAAGTGTAGAGAACTGCGGTTGCTGTCTCCAGCTGAGACACAAGGGTCGCTGCACTTGACCATGGGGCCAATGAGAAGAGGTGAGGACCTGAGCCGCGACTTACAGCTCTGACTCGGTAGGGAGGCAGACGTGGGGGCGATAGTCACAGATCTGTACTCCAAACCTCACAATGAGCGAAGATAGGTCCTGGGGCCAGCCGGGGTACCTCGGGCTCACAGTCATCACAGTGGCAGCATCCGCTGACTCCCTTACTCTCCTTATCGCCAATCTCTGGCCTGGGTACCCAACATTGTGTACTCAGTCCTTCTCCACACCAGAGACTCTAGGGACACAACTCAAGAGAATCCTGCGAAAGGAAGTGTTGAGTCTAGTCGACTTCTGTGTCTCTAGCTCCATGTACAGCTCCAGTTCCAGCCTAATAATAAACCACTCCTCTGAGGAGCTCTGGTAGTGTAGCGGTTATGAATCGGGCTGTGAACCTCAAAACTACCAGCTGTTCTGCAGGAGAAAGATGAGGCATTCTATTCCTGTAAAGATTTACAGCCTTGGAAACCCTGTGCAGGATCGCTGCACACAAACGACTACACTGCACATAATCATCACCTCCGAGGGTAAAGGGCTGTCTGAACCCATTCAACTTTGGGAAAGTAATTCTTACTACTTACCAAACATCTCTGTCTATATTCTGGAACTAACCTTTTATACTAATCCCTTACCTATGAAATATTTTCCATGTAAAAAAATTAAAAGGACTTGATTTAACATCTGTTGCTTCTA